TCGCCCCGAAAAGACATTTCTAAATTCCCATTCATTTCCCTTCGGTACATATTTCTGATAACATAATTTTATTATCGCAGGCCAAGGATGTTCCGTCGAAGGAAATCGGTCAGCGGACACTCGTGTGTGACTTTTAATTTTTCATATCTGTCCAAAGTCCTTTTAGTTGCCTGTTTTTCGTCACTTATCGAAATAACATTTTCATTTGAATTTTTCTTTGGCCAGTCGGTCTGTAGTTGATAATAAGATGCCTTCCCGTACCAATAGTTTGTTTTCATATCCTTAGATAACACAGCCGTCGCCAAAACATATCTGGTTCTTTCTTTCTTTCCCTTTCTTTTTACTCAGAATTTCCCTGTCATTGTAATGACACCCTTTCGCCATTTGTTACTTATCAAAATATCCCTTATCCATTGTCTCTTAGCCGTGTGTGTGTTCTGCTTATCACCCACGATTCGTCTCGCCTCTCTTTCTGCCTTCTTTTCTTTCTTTTCTCTTTCTGCCTCGTTAAATGGTGCCACAATTGGTCCTGCGCAGCAAGAATAAAACCTTCAGTTTCAGCTTTCAACCCTGCACCACGTAGCCACTGATGGGTACGGGTTTTGTCTACGTCAGCTTGTTTGGTACAGGCAGAGTATTGGCCATGAAGAAGTTCATCTTGCCATCGCTTCTGTATCTGGTCGGTTGTATTCGTCTTTGCTGTCTTTTTTAAGTATTTTTCAGTTTCAGTCGGTGTATTGTACTGTAGTTGCATCTCTACGCCCATTATTATTATTATCATTATTATTATTATTATTATTATTATTATTATTAAACAAAAGGATTGGCTCAACTCTTCTAATATTCTTCAACAGTTAAGAGAAGAACGCGCTTAATATGAGGGTGATTTTGTTTATCTTGGAATTTTCCGTTAGTTGTTTAGTTACTAGGAGGAATTAACCAAACAGCTTAGTATGAATCTAATGGAACTCTCCTATCATTCTGTTCATATCCCCGGGCCGAGAAGTTAATAATTAGCTTATGTAACCATCCTCATGTGTTTTAACGGTCGACAGGTCCGTAGATTCTGAATATTTTTT